GTGGAGGGTGGACTGAGGGTTGGCAGAATGAGAGGCTGGCTCGGCTGGCTTGGGGAGCCGGAGCCGAAGCCGAAGCTGGAGCTAGCGACTGAGGATGGATGCTTCGAAGAGGACAACCAACAAGAAGGCCATGTCGGTGCTGCCGACGCAAAAGTGGACGGAAGCCGCAGAGGACGCCTAAAAGTAACAAGTTCTGAAACCCTTTGATACTGAATAGTAACAGATGACACTAATCCAGGCGTTAATATAGATTTTCATACAGAAATTTCGGTAGGTTTGCATTCTGAAAACACGAGTGTGTCAGAAAGCACAAACAGACGCCATTGTGTGCATGAGTGTGAATGTGCTCAAAAGGCGGCTTGTACGACTTTATCTGCTCAAACTCTTCCGAACCAGACAACAGCGGGCCCGACAACTGGCAGGATGTATTGGTCGGCAAGTCAGCCAAAAGCGACGGTGTGTGTGTGTGTGGCTGCCTGAGTCTGTATGCCTGTAAGTGAACTGGTGCCGGTGCATGCGTGTAGCGTAGACTACTTTTGCGCACATGCCGGTGTGTTTGTGCCGGCCAGGTTGTCCGCCAAAACACGAGAATGTGGTTCTGTCCGAGTCATCAGCGTCTGAGGCCAGACGCAAGAAGTGGGGTTGGGTGTTTGGGGCTGTGCATTTGAGCGTGGACGTGGGGTGGAGGGGCAAGCAGAGTACTTTTAGGCGAGTAACCGCCGCAACTCGGCGACTGATGTGCCGACTGTCGGGCGTCTGAGCCCGGCTCTGTCACACGATCGCGCGCGGAGCGGGACCGGCGATGACGGCCGCCTCGAGAGGAGGGTTGTAGCGATGGGGCTCGGACGGTGTGAGGGGGCATGCTAGAGTGGGGCGGTGGTGGTGTCGGGCGGGGTAGAAAAGAGCGAGTGTCCGGAAGGAGTCGAGTGGTCCGGCACGGCCCGACCTGGCTCCGGCCAGAGTGTGGGTGTCGGCGGGTGGCGGCAAAGCAAGGAGCGCGTGTCAACTGCACAATCGGAGGGAAAATGCCATGGGAGGATGGGCAGACAGGCAGACATACACACAGACAAACATAGGCCCGTACGGACGGACGGGCGGCGGAGGAGAGGCTGATGGCAACGTGAGTCGTCACCGCAAGATAAAGTGCCAAATCGGAATCAACGTATCCAGGCTGGGCGGTAAAGACAGAGACCGGGAGGAACATTCTCAAGCGCAGGAACACATTAGCACTTATAGCACGATGATCAATGAAGGCGGAAATATGTCGACATGCATGTAGACACAAAGCAAACTAGACACACGTGTAGGCATGCTTGCGATGAGGCAGATGTGCACAAATACACACATACACACACACGCACACGTACGAGAGGGGTACAGAGAGGACGGCATTTTGACAGGCGCTCAATGGGCAGATAATTTGTCCTGCTTCAAAGTGGAGCAGAACGGCCCTATCGATACGTCAGTCTGGACAAGTCTACCGCTTTAGATCCTCTCCCAGTAAGCACAGGACAACTCTTGTGGACTGGGGACGGTCGGCAACCGGCAACCGGCAACCGGCAACCGGCAACCGGCAGCCGGCGTCGAGCCGGTAGGTTGCGCTAGCACGATTTCTTTTCCCAATTATGCCTTGTCTGAGCCTCTTTGTGTATGCATGCATGCAGGCATGCAGGCACAAGGCAGGAGTCAGGTCTGCGGGTCAGGGTGGGTCACTCTCGACTAACGAGGGGGACGGGATGACGCGGGAAAAGAGGCAAAAGG